ATATAGCCTAAGATGTTTATTCTTGTTTCCTGGGGGGAAACAAGTGCATTTAAGTGTATTTTACTTAAAACAAGTAAAATTATCCGTCATGGGGTAAGAAAAAGCATCTTAATGCAAACGTTTTTGCAAAATTTCCCCCACCTCCCCCGTCAAACACAAGACACCGTCAAAGTGACAAAAATGGCATGTCCTTTTATACTGTAGATGAGGAGGCTGTATTAATTCGTAGGGAGTTACATTTTTTGTGCCATATCCACATGCATATTCATTTGGTAGGTTTCTATATTGGGGATGCAGAGCACATTAGTAAGGCCGCTGTATGCAGAGCGGTAACGAAGGTGTGCCTCGCTGACGTTCACTTGATAACATCTTATGGCAACCTCTGGAAGTAACCCAATAATTAGAATTTCCTTCAGGATTTCCAGTGGGGTTGGTTGCATTGATGACACGCAGATTCCCATCATCGCACCTTCCAAAAATGAAACAGATATGGAATGGAAGGATGCCATATGGAAGTGTAGTCCGAGATATATGCTGTAACCACCACAGCTGTTACATAAACACAAATTATGCACAATTTATTTGGTCATCTTTATTTCCTACAAATACAAAAGCAAGAGTTATTCTTTTTTACTGTTGGATTTTAGTATTCTTCCAATACTTGGTATTATTGCCATCTCCTCTTCATCTGTTCTTCATTATTTTGCGAGCCTTCTTGCTGTTGACTGAGTAGAAGTCAAATGTTAATTTCATTACTCTAATTAGGATTAGAGATATGTGAAAAGATTAGATTACATGAAAAGATTAGATAGAGTACGTGAAAAAAAGCTGCTGAAGCTGCTGCTTGACACTGAATGAAATTTATTTAATACCAAATGTTTGTAAAGTCATGTAGCCTACACCCATGAACATTTTATGCTTAAAGCTTTACCTGATTGAATTGTTTTTATACTTCATTTTTAGCTGCTGTCACGTTCTTCTTTTTTCTTTTTTGCCCATGGGATACCATGAAAATTAATATTAGTTCAATAACCTACCGTTCTGCCAGTTTTCACCTCTGTTATTATAACAGTGACTAAGAATTAAACATATGCGTTGACTCAAAGTATGCAGACTTCTTTTTGTCGATGCTGTTGCCATGGTGAATCATAATTCCGGAGCTCCATTGATCATGACTTTTCATAGTCCTGGTGCACGCGCTAAAGTCAGAGTCAATCTACTCAGAGTTGACTGAACTAACACAATTCAGCTGTTCTGAAACCGAAAACTCAAGAGTTTCCCATCTCAGGGTAAGTCAACTCAGAGTTCAAGTTTTAACTCAAGTTGGTTGAGAGTTCAAGTTAGTTGAACCTCCTTATTGAAACGGGCCCAAGGTCACTGAAACCTAACATTTTTGAAAACTCCTGCCAGGGTGAAGATTTTCAAAAACTCCGGTTGCAGTGTTATCGTGTAGACAGTGAAACCGGAGTTTTTGGCTTGTGACGTCGGAGCATGCGCTGTTATCTCCGCCTACTGGAAACATTTTCAGGCTTCTGATTGGCCAACATGGCTTTATGGTTGAGATTTAATTTTGCCACCTGTTGGCTTGGCATGCTCTTGACAGTGCTTCATAGCATGCGTTTGCGTTTTCATGTAGACAGAGATTTTTTTTAAAACGGAAGAAGGAAAAACTGTTTATAAAAATACCAGTGTACGTGTGGACATGGCTTCAGAGTGTTGAAAAGTAACACTGAAACAGTGTTAAAGTTAATGATATAATTAGTTGATTAACTGAATAATGATTGAGCATTAATGAGGAACACCTGCTGTTAACAAACTGAACCACTGAAAGAAAGAGAAACAAGAACAGAAAAAAAGAGATGAGACGAGCAGAAACACAAGAACTACAACTGACTTCAGCTACAGCCTTAGATGAAATCAACACACGATAAAAGAAGACATTAAATCTCTCAAGTTCTCGGCAGAGGTTGATTAAACAACTCCACAAACAGCATTACCAGCTTCACGCATTACTAACCAGGGGTGCGTTTCCCAAAAGCATCGTTAGTTAAGTATGGTCGTTAGTTCCATTGAACTCTATTAGTAACGACGGAACTTGCGAGCAAAGTTGCTTTTCGGAAACGCGCCCCAAATTGATTTTAGATGTTGATGTTTTAGTTTTGTTTGAGTTACCATTATCGAGGTCAGTGTTTGCTTTAGTTGGGCTCTTGACCCTTGACTTTAAAACATTAGTATTTATTTGATTGCAGTAACTGTGAGTTTATTAGACATGTTTGTTATGGCAATCAGATGTTGGTGATTATGTTTCAATAAAGACATTGGTAGTGATGGGTGTTTTCAAAGCACTGCTTCGTGAAGCTTTGAAACTTTTGTGAATCATTTGTTTTCAAAACAGTGGATTTGATTAGTGATGGGAGAAACAAACCTTTTTGAAGCTATGAATCAATTGAACCAATAAAACATGCAAAAACAGCTTTTACAAACCCATTGCAAATACTTTCTTCAAAGTATAATATATTAAATGCACTTTAAATAATAAAATACCATAAAATATGAAATGTCTGTATATATGTGATTTAAAAAAAAAAAATTATTCATTTGCAGGGCTTGTTTAGTTTGTTTTATGGAGAGCTTGTCTAAACAGGCCAGTAAGAGACTATTAACTACCGCTCATCCTTTTAAATACACAAATTAAAAAATGATTCTTCAAAATGATT